TGTGGGCTGCCACTCAGCGTCTCCTCAGCTCCGGGGGAGACCCGATGCCGGCTGGTGTGTGGCACATCCAGCGCCTGCCGGTGCTGCTTGAGCTCCCAGCAGCGGAGTAGCCACACCCGCGTCCTGCCCCGGAGCGTGCCTTCCCGCAGTCCCATCCCCTGGTGCTGGAGGAGCAGTTCGTCCTCGAGTGTCTGCAGACAGTGCGCTCGGGGGTACGCCTACCCAGCGCGCTGCAGCCGAAGAACTCTGCGTAGCAGTACCCAGCCGTCGGGGTGGCGCTGTGCCCTTGCCCTCAGAGCCCCTCCCATGGTGGCACTGCCCCTACCCCCCCAGTTCCCTCTCACCACCCTGGCTAGAGTCAGAGCCCTCGGTGCGGCGTTCACCTCACACCTCTGTTACCTCAGGCTCCAGGATTTGATTTCGAGTTAGCTAGTAGTGCCCTCAGATTCCTCGGCCTTCCCCAGAGGAAGAGCTCACGCTCCTTCCTCAGCTCGTCCAAGAGAGGTCTCCTACATTGGGACACAGGCACCCCCAAGCTCGGGGAGAGTCGTCCTCCTCTGCCAGACGCACTGTGATTCTGAGTCCGCCAGATGGAGCTGGGCCATACCTGCGCTCCGGCACTGAGGCAGCCCCAGGCCCATGCTCTGCCATCGACTCCAGTGCTGTCAGTCTGGCACCAGCTAGTTCCACGCCATCAGTGTAGCGTGGAGCATCAGGATGGTCCTCCAGGTAGCAAACGGGCATGTGGCAGGCGGAGCTGCGGGACTGAAGTGTCTTGAGCCTAGAAGTGCAGGAAATCCCAGAGCTACGTCACCACCACGACACTGGCCTGAACATGTTAGCAACGAGTGGGGCTGCATCTATGTGACTGAGAGCAGCATGCAGCCCCCTCTCTGTCAAGGGGCAGAGCACATCGCTAATGGGAGGACGTGGGGCTGGGAGCTTCTGGCCTTCCCAGGCCCCTCTCTCTCATAAACTTCAGACCTGGCCAGTGTGGAGTTAAACGGCTCCCTCCCAGTGATGGGGGCAGGGCAGCCGGTGTGCTCCCCCTACCATCCCCACTCCATTAGGAGTGGGCAGTGGATCTATTTCCCCATCTGTTTTCTCCTTATCCCCCATTAGGCGTGCTGTGACCTTCCCACTTCAACATCTGGCCGGCTCAGTCGCAGATGTTGTGCCGTGGCTCCGGGGTAGGTGCCATGGAATATCCTGCGTCAGCTGCAGCCACCGGTGCCGTGGCTCTGAAGGCAGGTGGTGGCTGGAGGGCTCTTCCCGCCCTGGATTTATTGTTCCCACCCGAGTGGGAAGTGAAAAGAGAAGCGTTCCGAGAACTCCAAAGGGATTGCTCTTGGTTTCTGTCCCTTCTGACTCAGCAGCTCCGCTCCCTCCCCGCGGCCGCCATGGCCTGGGCTCTGTCAGACGGAGGTGATGAGAGGAGAGGTTCGAGGCTATTCCTCCATCTGCTCCACGCCCCAGGAAGCAGCAGCTGCCTGCTTGGAAAGAGCCAGAGCCAGGCTTCAAACCTGCTGCTTTGCATTTAATCATAGAATCAGAGACTATCAGAGTTGGAAGGGACCTCAGGAGGTATCTAGTCCAACCCCCTGCTCAGAGCAGGACCAATTCCCAACTAAATCATCCCAGCCAGGGCTTTGTCAAGCCGGGCCTTAAAAACCTCCAAGGAAGGTGTCAAGGCTCCTTCCCCACTCTGAACTTTAGGGTACAGATGTGGGGCCCTGCATGAAAACTTCTAAGCTTAACTACCAGCTTAGATCTGATCCGCTGCCACCACTCCCAATGGGCTAACTCCCTTCCCTGGGTAGCCTTGAGAGACTCTTCACCAATTCCCTGGTGAACACAGATCCAACACCTTGGGTCTTAAAACAAGGAGAAATTAACCATTCCCCCTCCTTCCTTCCACCAACTCCTGGTGGATCCAGATCCAATCCCCTTGGATCTAAAAACAAGGAAAAATCAATCAGATTATTAAAAAAAAGACTTTTAATTAAAGAAAAAGGTCAAAATCATCTCTGTAAAATCAGGATGAAAAACAACTTTACAGGGTAATCAAACTTAAAGAGCCCAGAGGAATCCCCTCTAGCCTTAGGTTCAAAGTTACAGCAAACAGAGGTAAATACTCTAGCAAAAGGTACATTTACAAGTTGAGAAACCAAAGATAAAACTAACACACCTTGCCTGGCTGTACTTACAAGTTTGAAATATGAGAGACTTGTTCAGAAAGATTTGGAGAGCCTGGATTGATATCTGGTCCCTCTTAGTCCCAAGAGCAAACTCCCCCCAAAACAAAGAGCACAAACAAAAGCCTTCCCCCCACCAAGATTTGAAAGTATCTTGTCCCCTTATTGGTCCTTTGGGTCAGGTGTCAGCCAGGTTACCTGAGCTTCTTAACCCTTTACAGGTAAAAGGATTTTGGAGTCTCTGGCCACGAGGGATTTTACAGTATTGTACACAGGAGGGCTGTTACCCTTCCCTTTATAGTTATGACAGAAGGAGATTCCACCACCTCCCTAGGGAACCCATTCCAGTGCTTCACCACCCTCCTAGTGAAAAAGGTTTTCCTAATATCCAACCTAGACCTCCCGCACTGCAACTTGAGACCATTGCTCCTTGTTCTGTCATCTGCCACCACTGAGAACAGTCTAGATCCATCCTCTTTGGAACCCCCCTTCAGGTAGTTGAAGGCTGCTATCAAATCCCCCCTCATTCTTCTCTTCTGGAGACTAAACAATCCCAGTTCCCTCAGCCTCTCCTCATAAGTCATGTGCTCCAGACCCCTAATCATTTTTGTTTCCCTCCGCTTGACTCTTTCCAATTTTTCCACATCCTTCTTGTAGTGTGGGGCCCAAAACTGGACACAGTACTCCAGATGAGGCCTCACCAATGTCCAATAGAGGGGAACGATCGCGTCCCTCGATCTGCTGGCAATGCCCCTACTTATACAGGCCCAAATGTCCCTGTGCAGTCAGGTCTTTCCATGACCCAGCGTGGATCTCACCTCCTCCGTCACCCTGATGGCGACGGTCTGGCCTTCATCCAGGAAACGGAGAACTAGCAAGCGAGGTGGGATCAGCAGAGAGGGAATTCAGCTGGTGGGACCCAGGGAGGCGCAGCCCGTCTGACTGGTCAGTGTGCTCCCCAGCTCCAGTGCCTGCCTGCACAGCTCAACCTTCCAGCCCCACCAGCGACTCAGCCCAGCTCACAGAACAAGTGGTCGTCTCGGGACTCTCCAGACCTGGCTAGGAATAGTCATTCCTGTGAGAACTGCACTGGCACGGGCCGGCCAGCAGGCCAGGGCTGAAACAGAGCTGTCACCGCTGCAGTTCTCCACCCAGTCCATCTCTGAGCTTCCTTCACACCCCATCCCTCACCACTGGGAACTCTGGGTGGGGTCCCTGAGTACGGGGTGTCCCTGGCCCCTCCCACCAGCAAGCACTGTCTGCCCGCTGAGCTGGGCACTGTGCTGCTGGCCCGACGCAGGCGGACGGGGCGATGAGGAAGAGCAGCGTGAGTCGCTGAACCCAGAGCCAGGGCTCACCAGCTGTGCAATCAGCAAAGGGGCCCAAGCCATGCCGTGCTCACTCGACCAGGTCACAGGCTGGGATTCTGCAACCTTCTCTCCCGCCAGGCCACGGCCCCGCCACGGCAGATTCAAAAGGCATTTTGTAAAACATTGCCTCTGCTTCCGTATGGCTGCCGGCGTGGGGTCTGATTTCCAGAGGTGCTGGCATCTGCCTCTCCCCTTCATTCGTACGGGATTTCTGCACTTAAACGTCCGGCTGCGGCTCTCTCCCGTTAGCCAGGGAGCTGGTGATTGTCACGCCACGTGGCGGGAGCGTGTGGGTGTGGGTGTGTCGAGGGGAGGTGTTCATCTCTGGCCGATTTGGCTGACTGGCGGGGAAAGCAGAGCAGCTTTAGGGCTAACACTGTTTCTCTTATTCTCGCCAAGCTCCGTGTTCAGGGCTAGAAGAAAGTGACTCTGGCTCTTGGCCAGTGGCAGGGGGACTCGCACTCAGAGGCCAGGCACAGGAGAGCCGGTTCAGCTCAGTCTGCGTATCGGAGAGAAGCCAGGAGGCTGCTCCAGATGGCAGAAGCCACCAAGGAAAAGTGTGTGATTGTGTGAGGGGATGAGAGGAGCCGATGTGGGGTGGGGAGGGGAGGGCGGTGGGAGCATGTCCGGGCGGGGTGCTTCTGAACTCTCTGTGGGTATTTCTAGAGCACCAGTCCTGGCTGAACGGGCCAGAGGAGCTGTCTGAGGAAGGGTCAAGGGGAGGTCACGCAGGCAGGATGTTCTGGAGAGCTTCGGCTCTGGGGAGTAAGCGCCACGCAGGGGCGGGGATTGCTTAGTGCGAGCCAGGGTGATCAGGCGAAGGGGCTGGAATGGCGAGCGGGAACGCGGGCTGACGCTGGGAAGTTGCCTGCATTTCATTGGCGGTGAAATAGAGGCCCTGGGGACTGGGGGAGGGCGAAGCCCCGTCCTTTGGGCCTTTGAAAGCAGACTAGACCCGCAGCGTTGTAACGGCTCTGCAGGGAGCAGGCCTGCCCTGCCTGCAGACGGACTGGGGGCGTCTGATGCTGTGGCTCAGTGAGTTGGAGAGGCCATGAGGGAGGATTCAGCCTGGGGGGCAATGCTGGGGGGCAATGCTGCAGAGGCCACGCCAGGCAGATCTGCAGACGGTGGAAATGTGGGAGGAGCAGAGCAGAGGGTCAAGGACAAGTCCACGGTTGTGGCACAAAGGAACGGGCAGCCCCCTGGCCAGAGGAACGGCTGCCCTTGCACTAACCGAGACCCGGCCACACAGTTCCTTGGTCTGCACTCCCCTCCGAAGTGGGCTGGGAGCAGGAACATGGCGGAGTCTGGGACTTGCCCATGTCGGGCTCTTCTGGGGGTGCAGGGGGGTGGCTCCCTTCTGCAGCAGCACGTCCTGTATGTTCTGCGGGGCAGGAGAGGCTCCCCTCAGCCAGCTCAGGGATTTCAGCCCCTCCGCTGCGTACTCAGCTGGGGCCCATTTGCTGGGTTCCCCTCAGTGCCCTCTCCGATGTGGCACCTGTCCTGCTTAGGAAAGGCCCTGTGCTAGTGCGGAAGGGAGGTGGCTGCGTGACCAGCGGTGGAGGCCCGTAGCACATGCTCCCCAGAGGTTGAACCGAGCTCAGCGTAATCCCAGCCATCCCCACGGCTGCTGCAGAGGGGCTGCAGTTTGTCTCCTCACAGGCAGAGACCTGCCAGGGGACTGGTGTGTCAGGCTCATTGCAAACCCCGGGCCGAGCCTGGCCCATTTGCCAGCACGAGGAAGAGGCAGCCCCAGCCCCAGCCAGCCTGCGCCTTTGCAGTGTTTCCTGTGGTAGTTCTGCACTTCTTGGAGCACTCGCTGCATTTCTCTCTGCGGAGCATTGCTGGCCAAGGTCCAGCCTGGCGCCAGGGCAGTTGTCCCCGCTCGGTGGATGCGGGAGCCTGACAAGGATGTTGCCGCTAAGGAGACACGGAGTTGGAACTCGGAGGCTGTGTGGGCCCCATGTAGAGACCAAGAACTGCTCCCAAACCCCACTGCGGCATCCCTCCATCCCGGCCATTGCTAGTCTCCTGAGACAGGCGAGCAGGGACCTAGGGGAGCAACAGGAGCCCGTGTCATTGGGAGTGGTTCGTGCGGAGGTGCCGTGGCTCCGGGCAGGGCGATGGCCTGGCACCGGGGACACAGTGTGTGCAATGATGCAGTAGCGCAGCCAAGGGTGGGGGTGGAGTCTCCATCACAGGCCATGTTTGTGTCACGATGGGATGTTCTTCTAAAAGCTCTGGGGCCTCTGCTGTGCAGGAGTCACTGGATGATCACAAGGGTCCCTTCTGGCCTGGACTGTAGTAACCTGCACTGTGATATGGAAGGGTTTTCATCGTTTCCATGCTTCTAAGGGAGTCAAAATCTAGGGAACATGAACTCGGAGTAACCAGGGAGCAGAGCAAAGCCGCTGGCTGCCTGGGGAAGAGACGAGAGGAGCAAGTTACTGGAGAAGGACACTGAAGCCCAAAGCATAAATGTGTCGGGCCCCCGTTGGTTTATTTCTGGAGAAGGAAGGCTAGAGGGAGCTAGTGACAAATGCAGCCAGTGGAGTAAGATCCCTCTGGAAAGGGACCCTCTCCTGTCCTTACAAGCTGCGAGCCATTTGCCACGTCTCTCACAAAGATCCCCACAAGTGTGTCACACCCTGAAGCAAACCCACTGGCTGTCGCTGCGGCTGGACTGTTCCCTTTGCAGCCGTGTGTGCTGTTCTGCCCTGGGCGGCGGGCACGGAGACGGGCTGGCTGGGCTGTTCTGCCCTGGGCGGCAGGCGCGCGGACGGGCTGGTTGTGCTGTTCTGCCCTGGGCGGTGGGCGCAGAGACGGGCTGGTTGTGCCGTTCTGCCCTGGGCGGCGGGCACGGAGACGGGCTGGCTGGGCTGTTCTGCCCTGGGCGGCAGGCGCGCGGACGGGCTG